TTCTCAAAACAGCTTAAAACTTGCCATGTAAAAGAAAGAAATATTTTGTTACAAGTATCAAACAAATTACAACGCATTCAAAGTTTAAAAGTAGCGTTGGCTTATAGAATTGTCAATACATGTACGCGATGAAATATGATTTTAATCAATTAAAATGCTATTTTTAGCGATGTCAGGATATACAGGAAAATACATACAGATATACAGTACGATTTCGATAGCAACGATCAGAAAATACCACAGAGCTTGCAGCCCTTTGATTATTACTTGGGGACAATACTCCGCCTTTCAAGGAATGGCACTTCTGTGTCACATTGAAGGTTCTATGATACCCGCGGTTTGAATACATCTGCGGATGTTTCTAAATTCAAATTTTCACCCTTTCATGTTAAAATGCTGAATTCTGCTTTAGACGGTGCCAGGGGGCGTAGACGGTAGTTTGCACTTGACATTACCGTCCATAAACAGGGTCAATCAAACCAAGTCTGCAACATTTTTCAAGTTTGAAGTGTTTTGGCCTTGAGGGATGACCATTTCCGTGCTTTCATAACGCGCCGATTAATACGTGCAAATTCATTTTTCTTTTTACATTTGAAGACAATTATTGATTGATCGAAAAAAAATATCTGGAAACATAGTGATCCACCGGAAGCATTAATCACAACAAAATTACATGAAAAATTGCAGACTCAGTTTGATTGAGTCTATACATGAGGGATAATGAACAAGTGCAACATCCCTCACGCCCCTAGATATTATAGCAAAGAAAACAATAAAATAAGATAATTAAAATCGGAAAATTTTACATTATATACTTTTAACAAGTAAATTATTAACTGTGAAACGGTTGCCCTTTTGATTAACTATACTCACAACTTTTCTCACAGTAAATTGGCAATAGTCGATGTCACGCGTTATACAAACATATACACCGGGTCAAGTAAAGGTCAATGGTTTAATTTACGATCTTGATTGAAATTTGAAAGTACAAAAAATACAGCATTTCTTCTGTTTTTCGAATGTTCGTATTCGTTTTTCGATGTTCGATTTCGAATATTCAAATATATTTCCCGGCCCTATATTAATTCTTGTATCAATCGTTGCTTACATTGTCAATATGTATAACGAATTAACGAAATTCCATGACGAGGTAACCACCGCAAACATACTTTCTTTCCTTGTTGGTTTTGTTTATCATATTTTACAGAAAAAAAATATACAAATTATCGACGGGAAATATGGGGACAGGGAACATATTCGAATGATGGACCCGATCAATTGTTTTAATAACTCAGACATGGTGTTTTGAAGGTACTGGAAACTTCTGATATTTCTCTTTCATTGTAATTCTTTCTCGTTTGTGTGTAGGAAACGAGCAGTATTTTTGTTGTTTTTTTACCCGAAACTAAGCATTTTGGTAGCTTTGTATGTATTTGTGACTCTCCGAATGGAGGTGAAAAAGTTAAAATTCAAGCTTTGACAGTTGGCGCCAAACAAGATAAATTTTTGAAAATGCCATAGCTTGCACTGCGTGTAAGTGATATTTTTTAAGGAATCGGGCGGATTCTAGAGTATGCTGCACCTTCATGAAGATTGCCCATATTGGTATATTTTAGGTGTGATTTTGGATGGGTCGGGGTAAATATAAATTGCTGTCAGTCATTTTTTAAGGAGCAATGCATTCAAACTATTATTTTCTTCAATGTATGTCATAAATCATTGAATAATGCTGTGCAACTGGTTATCTGCCTGTGAAACAGATTTTGAAATATTTGGAATTGTGTTTCTAGCCACACTGAATAACAAAATTGTTCATTTTTAGGTCCCCTGCCCCCTTCGTGTTTTGATTTAATGCAAATGATGAGTACTCTTTAAGGGGCGGTAACTTTTCCATTTTCGCTTCAACTAGAACATTTCCTTCTTAAATTGAGGTTAATATCCTAAACAAATGATAGTTTAGCGCGGATTGATTCCGTATGATTTGATGATGGGCCACTTAATTCTTACACTCCTGCCAATCCTGGTAAATATAGTACCATCAGAATAAAATTGAAAATTAAAACATTCCACAGACCATTTTTTAATGACACTAAAACACTTTAAAAAAATTGACTATATTTTCCTTTGGATAGCAATTTAATAATTAAAAAAAAAAATTCAAAGAAAAAATGTTGTTTTTTTTATTGATAATATATTGCCATGGCAATTTTTTTTGTAATTGCCATGGACTTGCCATGGCAAATTTTTGCCATTGAATTGCCATGGCAAATTTTTGCCATGGAATTGCCATGGCAAATTTGCCATGGCAGAAATTTGCCATGGCATTTCTATGGCAAAAAATTGCCATGGCAAAATGAAAAAAAACTAGAGATTGCAATAAAAAAATAACAATAGCACCAATAACATGTCATAGGATAAGTTTTAGAATGTTTTGTTATGTTTTAAAAAAATAATTGCCATGGCAAATTTGCCATGGCAAAAGTAGGAAAAATCTTGCCATGGCAATTCTAATTTGCCATGGCAAATTATTTGCCATGGCAATTCTAATTTGCCATGGCAAATTATTTGCCATGGCGAAATGCCGAAATGCCATGGCAAAACACACTTTGCCATGGCAAATGCAAACCTTCAATGCATTTTTACAAAAAAGTATTAAAGATAGAAAAACAAAACATATTAACTTTTAAACCATTTAGTTAATATGACAATTTAAGATAGTTTTCATTTTTTTAAAGCGCGTAAAAATAGGGGTTGAATTTGCCAAAAACTGGCGCGGCAAAAAGAAACCGGCAGCTATTGTATGTCAAGTGGTCTTTTAAAGCTTGTCCTTGCTTTACTTGGAATCATTGATTTTTTTAGTGTAAAATCATTTATATATAATTTTTGTTTTAAGTTGTTTTTCCGTTTCTTTGTTTGTTTGAACTTTATTTGTTGCTGATTTCTTTTTCATTTTTTTATCTTGTTGTTTTGAAAAAATAAAAATTCAGCACATGCGGAGAGAACAATGCGATCCAGGCACAGAGTAGAAGCTCGTGACGATTTGATATAATTAATTTAAAATGCGCGTTCCATGTGTGCAATACAGTTAATATTACAAGTAAGTTGTCGTTGCTCAATTAAAATTAAAAAATAAAAATGTGTGTTTCCACTTTGCTGATAGCATACGTACATGTATGTGGTAAATGTGTCTCATCAATACTTAATGAGCTATAAAGCCAATCAACATGGTACATATAACTATTTCTGGGGTAAACATTCATGAAGTGCTCTTTTATTTCAGTTTATGAAACAGTAAGGCAATAGACTCTTTAATAGTTTCACATATGAACAAATTTAACATTTACTTGGTAGAAAACGATTATGAATCGATCACGATGGGCACATATTGTCACGTGACATAAATGACAGAAAGCGTGCTAATGTAATTTTAGATAATGAATAACAAATAACAACATTAAGCATAATTGTTTTATAGGACTACACAATGAACCAAAATAACATTTGTCAGTTGTAATATCAATTACAGACACCAAATGACAATTAAATGCGTTGAGGAAAGTTTCACTTATACAAGGTAGTAGGGTGTGGGTATGATAAAGGTAAAAATAGTCCTGCTGTCACTTTTTTACCCCAAATTAGTAAAGCGCGAGACAATACTTACAATACTTACTTAGTTGGCTATCGGACTAAAGATATAATATGCCAAACTTCAAAGGGTTGGTGGATATCCGCTATATGTTCGTACAAAATTCTGTCTGAATAAAGTGATTTCTTACGTGGCTTATACTTTTTTCTTTGTTATTCTTCCAAATAGTAGGCTAATAATTTATAACGTATATCATTAGACTATTAAAGAGGTGTGTTTTTCTTTCCTTTCCTTTTTTCAATTCAAATAAAAGATCGTTGATATCAGGATATGCCAAATTTAACTATTTACATGACTTGTTCATTGTAAATCGTCCAAGAAAATTTCAGAACGATACCACCTTCAACAAAATTAATTGAAAGTCTAGGCTTATACGCTCAATATGGATCACGAATTCGAACAAAAAGATCAATAATTCAACTCGGACTGTTGCCTGACAGTGCTTATAATCTTGTTTTGAGAATTCCTCGTCGTTGGGTCTGCCTGCAGTTGACATTTGAAACTTTCTGTTTAATATTTAATTCAGTCGAGTGCTCCTGTAATTAAATTTTAAAATATTTGAATAAACCTTCCACATTTCAAACATCAATTATGAATTTATATATAATTTATTATCTAAAAATAACGTACCGTTATTTAATTTTACCCATGAAATATGGTGCTATATCAGTCAAATATATTTCATATTTTTTGAAAATAAAAATGAAATATAAATAATAAATATGAAAGTGGGCGGAGTCAAAACTCATATTTATTTTAAGGGATTTCTTTCGCCATTTTGTTTGAAAACTCTGATAAATACAAAACAACTTTTTGTTGAATTTTGTTGTGAACTATCTAGAATGATAGAAAATGGTCTTACTAAGAAAATAAATCCGAACACCAATATCTTTAATTCAGTCATTAACGATGTACGGACGTTTAAAGAGTTGTTTACGTGACGTCACAATTTATCGCTAAATATCGCGTGCAAAACAAGACAATATTTATATTACTGCGCGCTGTACAATTGCAGTTGCGTAGCAAGCAAGGCTGTTTGTCACCATTTGTCTTTGATATTGAAATTAAATAAAAAGGTTATTTTTTCGTTTTTCGTGAAATATGGTATATATTTTCACTCAACATGATAAAATGCCACATATTTTCACTCACCGGCCCGTGAAAATATGTGGCATTTTATCATGTTTCGTGAAAAATATTCCATCTTTTTCTATGATAAAATTAGGATGTATCATATTGGATAAGCGCATACAATAGTGATACCTTACATCGGCAAAGCATAAAGGAAACTACAGTATAAATACTAAATTTTATTATTTCTTTTGCGCCAAATGTTTATGTCATTTCTTAAATGATGCTATTATACATGTATTTTTAATTTATACCTTTAAAAGCGCTTGCTGCGTGCATTGAAACTTTAATCAACCGTCATGCTTCTATACCTAAGCAATTATTGCAACGCATTGCTGTTATATAGTATAAACTGATTTTATATTGGCTTGCACATTGAAAGTTATGATAAGTAAAAATAATCTAAATAAAAATAAGAAATAAACATAAAGGCAATTATTGAAACTTGCTTTCCAACCGCCATACTGTCAGGATAAAATGTTTTTACTATATATATAAAGTCAGTCGAAATCTACAAACTGTTTATAAAAAGAGCGTGTCCTGGTTGGATTTTTGTTATGAATATTGACATAGTTTGACGTGTCTTACAAAAATTCTTAATATTTAAGTAATTTTGTCAATTCTCTTTGTGCGTGGTATATTTTCTTACACATGATATATGAAGGTTGTTTAAAAGGACCTATTTCTATAAGAATAGTAAGAAATATAACAAAAAGTATATAAATAATGCGGTAACGGAAAACTTGTCTTCTGTCACAATGCTCTATATTAAAATGGAGAACAAGGGTTTAAAAGTTGGTCCAGTTGTATATTCCCTTCCTGTCAAGCAGATAATTTTCTGTTCAAATCCTACTGTTTAGGTCCAGGGAGCCGAACTGACGCTTCCGTCATAATTAATCTTAAATAACAGTTATAACTAAATAACATAAGGGAGATAGTAAAAATGAAAAAAAAAACATGAAATGTATGCCATTGTATTAATTAATAATCAGCTCTTTTTGACATGTTATAAAATATATTATCAAAGAGAAGTTTAATATCACAATTTTGTGGAACTGTTTAAATGATTAATGAAATAGCTAAGGAATCAACAACTATATTCTTTTCCAACGAATGTAGTTGAAGAATAGCAGTTTCATTTGTGGTTGTCATACAAAATCACATTTATTTTTGAAAAAGATACAATTATCCTAACTTATAAGTTTGCTGATATGAGATTATTAAAGATGCTAGATTTAGACTACATTTACGTAGTAATTACATTTAACAGTATCAAATCACTAAAAATAATTATACAGTCTTTATTATGATTATCAACGTATCGGACAATAATAACATTAAATGATACTTTTCTTTCCTAAAGCTTTCAAAACATAGATAAACATATCATTTATAAGGTTTAGAATTGAGAAGGTTTGCCTCACAGTTAAAAATGTAAACATGTATAGCCATGTAGCAGCAAAAACCTGTTCACGTACAGGTCAATTTGCTTTAAACACAACTTTTTAAACCTCACCCTCCCCAAAATTGTGAGGTTCAACCTTTACACAGTCAATATGTTCACTTTGCCATGATAATGTATTGAACTTCTCTTTTGTTGTTGCACGACTTTTCCGTGGCCATGTAGCATGTTCATGGCACACACTATTCAATTTGCACTTATCAGTACATGTGCCGTTTGGGTGGATAGTGCAGTCGCTGCTGATACGGGTATCACGTGTCGTATCACGTGACATTCTCCGTGACGATTTACGCCAAGAAGAGAGTACAATGGAACGAGTGTTGTATGAATTTAATCTGCGTTTGAAACACCATCTCCGTATTTCATTCTGTACCTACATAATAAATTTTTGATAAGATTATAGGTTTATTGGTAATTATAACAAAGAAAGATTTACTAGTACATATAACTGAACTGTTCGGCTTTTTCCAGCATTGAGCCTTGGAAAGTTAGAATCTAATTCTTTGTAAGAATTTTCAAAAAGACATTTCATATCAATAATTGTATGAATTGTATTAATGACATTATGTAATTTGTCTCATAAAATAATTTAAGTTCATGTTTCCAACAAAAATCGTTTAAATGAAACAATTTAGCCTAGATTCAAATCATTTTTATTCAGACAGAACGACAGACGAAAATTATAAGAAATCAGCAACATAGGCATGCTTGTGAAAATGAGAAACTCATTCAAGAAGTTATAAGAAATATGACAGAAATACACATGTGCTCTCCGATAAGACCAACATTTTTCTGGATTTAATTGTAAAAAAAGAGAATAGTTACCTCTTCGTTAAGGAAGCAAAACAACAAAGCTAAAACAAATCCCTGAAAAAAAAGAGAAACATCATTTGTATCGTTAAATACGGACTCGGATGAGTATTGATTTTATTTGTCACATATTTTACCAATATTTTCCTTAGAATTCTATGTAATAGCACGGAGGAAGGTAGTCTAATACTGATGTAACTCTCCAGGAACGATGGTTAGGAAACTACCCGCCTATATGACTGAAATACTGTTGGGAAAGGCGTAAAATGAAACAAACAAACTATGTAAGTAGTTATACATTTTCCTGGCATAGAAAATATACTATGAAAAAGCATTTTTAATTTATTTATTTAATATATGCTTTATTTATTGATAGATTCCTTCTTAATAGATTTAACAAAAACAGTGTTATGCGTATCTTTTTCCAGAAAATGATGTGGTGTAATTCTTTCTGAATCCACACATCAGATATTTAGAATTATACAGGTGAGGGATCTTTGCAATGCCTCACTTTATAAATATGACTCTATTTGTTGTTAGTATAACTCAATAAAGTAAATTGATGTTATATACTTTATATGAACCTGCACTGATACAAAATTATAATTAATTATAAATGACCCCAAAAATGTTTTATCGCGGAATACAGGAAACGAATAATTGAAAAAAAAATAAATGTAATGTTTTGATTCTTGATAGTATTTTTCTTATAAGTAGATTCTTTCTTTCTAACAATATCTCGCTTAAATAAATATGAGGCGTTTTTAATTTTGGCTCGTGTACAAAATTAACAAAATAATATATTTATTCCATTCAACATTAATATCAAGTTCCTTTAAGAATAATATATTTTATAACTCAATCAAATCATACGTAACTATAAATATATAATCATCTATTGCAAATATGTACTCACATCACATTATGTTACTTGTATTCTGAAGATAACTTACTTGGAATGAATTATAAAACATTTCACAATACAGATACATGAAATCAGCTTCCATACTAAACACACCAACCGGGTAAGCGTTAAACGCAATATATACCACCCCAAATAGTGGCAAAAGCACCAAAACAAACTTGGCAGTCTTCCTGAAATATATGATAATTACATATGTAAATAGAAGTATCGTGTTCTAGGATTTTGGAACATAGATTTTTTATGATTTTGTTTCATATTTCTCACTGCTAATTTAATTTATAATTTACATATTTCATAGCTATCTTGGTTGACAACGATTGTTAATTAATTGAAAAATCTAATTGGGAAAAAGTTTGTCTAATTGTGAATAATATGCAAAATCTCAAGATGTAAATTACATGTCTTTTCTTTATTATTCATATATATTAGTTTGTATTCGTTTTACACCGGTATATGGAATAAATGAAACTGCCCCATTTAGCAAAAAAAAATGATCTTATTTGAAATATATGCACGTACAAAAAGTGATATTTTTTAATGACTATTTAACTATTTGAATAGAATTAATATTGTTTTAAAAGTATTGTAAATTCTAAACAAATATTTTTTTGTTATTTAATACACTAAAGGGATTTGCAATTGTTTTAGAAGGCGCCGATATTCATATGTTATAAGAAAGAAATTCCATGGAATTATTTTCTGTGTAGTCTTACCTCCAGTACTTTGCATCACTTTTTACATGTCGGCTTAACTTTGACTTTACACATAGCACTCTTACAATATTGATGAAAAATAGAAAATTGATCTGTAGAGAGAAACAAAATATCAAATCATTGTGAATCATTGTGAAATTTAGTAAGTATACTCATTGTTCTATATAATTGAATCACGAAGTATTACCATCCTTGAAGAAGTTTATGTCTTTTTAAATTCAAACCATTGAAATGTAAAATCACTAGAATTTTTGGTCAGATTGAAAGAGTATATAATTCTACGCAGTTGTTTTAATGATTTATGCTATGGCTGACATAAAAGAGTTAAACATGGTAAATTTATAATAAATATTGATGAGAGATGTCTTAATGTGTTTAAGCAGGAAAGAGTTAGCAAACTTACAAGAATAGAAATATGCATTGGTGCCTTAATGATCCAAAAATAGCCACCGGTATTTTGGCGATTCCAACACCTAAATATTTGAAATAAAGGAAAAACAATTAAAACCATATAACACCTTACACAATTTATTGAAGAAATCATTTTGAATCTGTTAAGGCAAACTACAATTTTGAATAAGTAAATCTTAATCCTTTATAGAAAACAGTTTTGCAAATGTCTACAAACTGTCAAATAAATTACCTATTAACAACGTTTTTACCGATCAAAAAAAACAACAACATAAAATAAGCAGGCAATTAAATTAACATGACTTGAACTAAAAACTAAATTAATTCGGAACAACTTACAGCTCGTTGTCCTTGAACATTCGTACTACAATCCAAGGTATCACGTAAGTGAAAGAGGATACTGAAATAAAAAATTAAGGTAGGCGTTCACACATTGATACCTGAACTTAGGTAATGTATGTTTAATTGGCTGTTCAAAAATGCATTTTTGACATCGTGAATAATTTGAAGGCAATGAGAATGAAGAAGTTATATAATAAATTATATTGGAACGTTTTACATAGTAGTATAGTGTTAATTTCAACGTTTGAACGATTAGAAATAACAAATAGCAGAACTTATTTTTAAATTAATTTTTATGCCACCGCAGCATCTGCGATTGGTTTTCTTTATATGTATATTGTAAAAACTTACAGTAAAAACTTTAAAAAAAAATTCTTCTAGCAATTGACAAATGCTTGAGGTAAGATATTTTGCATAAAACATTGTGTAGTGAACCTCTAGCAAGATTGTTCAAATTAAAGCCCTGGGGTCAAAATTGCCCCTGCCACGGGGGTAATTGATTTCCAATATATACATATAGTAAAAATCAAAAAATCTTATTATCTGAAGGTACAAGGCTTAGAACTTTAATATTAATTTTGTTAAATGATATCATTTATAGGTACTCTACCAAAGTTGTTCAAATTTTGCCTCTGGTGTCAAAATTGGCCCCACCCCCAGGGGTCATTGATTTTCACTATGTACATATAGTAAAAAATTTAAAAAAATTATTGTCTGAAGATACAAGGCTTAGAGCTTTAATATTTGGTATATAATATCATCTATGGGTCCCCTACTAAAGTTGTTTTAATTATGCCCCTAGTGAAAACATTGGCCTGACCTAGAGGCTATAGTTTTCCTTATATGTATAAAGTAAAAACTTGAAAAGTCTTCTTCTCTGAATTGACAAAGGCTAGAGGTTAGATTTATGGCATGAGACTTTGGGAAGTGAACCTCTACTAAGATTGTTCAAATTATAGCCATGGGGTCAAAATTGGGTCCACCCCAGGTTCATTGATTTTCATTATGTACATAAAGTAAAAAAAATAAAAACTATTTTTGTCTGAAGGTACAAGGCATAGAGCTTTGATGTTTGCTATATAATATCATCTGTAGGTCCTCTACCAAAGTTGTTCAAATTTTTCCCCTGGTGTCAAAATCGGCCCTGCCTGGGGGCAGTGATTTTCATTAAGTACACATAATAAAAACAAAAACAAATGTTTTCTGAATGGGAGAAAGCTACAGCTTAGATATTTGACTTGAAATGTTGTTTGGTGGACTTGTATCAAGATTGTTTTGAAGTAAACCCTTGGGTCAAAATTATGCCTTGCCCAAGGGGACAGTGACCTACTTTCTTGTCCTTTGATGTGCAGCAATGAAAATTTGACCATGTGCACAGTTTTAGTTGTAAAATTGAATTTTTATAGCAAGTGACCTAGATTTTGATTATGTGACCTACTTTTTTGTCCTTTGATGTACAGCTAGGAAATTTGAACCATGTGCACAGATTAAGATGTAAAGTGAACTTTGATATCAGCTGACCTAGATTTTGACAAAGTGTCTTACTATATTGTCCTTTGATGAACTCATGAAATTTAGGCTGTCGTCTGCTTATCTTTCTGCAAAGGAATGCTAGCAGTTTATAGTAATACGTTGGATTTGCATTGGTACCGGCTCATCCAGACAATAATATACGAGGTTAATAAAAGACCCGTTCTTCAACAGTATTTTTTCCTACACTTCTATTTAGTGTTGTATTAATGCGATGGCAAGCATTTTCTCAAATGCAAACTTGTTTTTATTACTTTTATTTTTATTTATTACTTACACCAACCGAATAACACGTATAAGCGTGTACCATGTCTCTCAGTAAAAAGTGTTTTGTATACAAGCATATGTAAATAAAGTCCCTCCATCAAGATCCACATCATACTAGTCGCCACGGAATACATAAATATACTCACTATCAACTTACATTCCCAATGCTAAAAAATAACACATAGTAAATTTAATTTGATGGTGAAAACTAGTGTGAATTAACAACAAAAATACTTAAAGGACATAATAAAACAGGAATATAAACTAAATGAATTATATCCTGGAGTATAAAAATACTAACAAAATAATTAATTCATTAAATCATACATGAGTGACTAATGTTAAAAATACAGGTACAATTTAGATTAAGAGGAGAAATATTTTATGTTTTGTGCATTTGTTAAAAATGGAATTATTGATTCCAGAATAAATGATTTAATGCATTCTTTTATTTAAAGTTTTTGATAAGAACACATGTAATTTCCTGGTGATAAAAAGTAATTCTGTTACATTGCAAAATATTTACATGCACTTTTATGGGTCATTTTCAACAAATATTGTAAGAATGCTATTACCAGTCCGTCTTGTTTAAATTCTATGGTCCCTCCTGGATTTCGAATGATGTCTTTCTCTAAACCAATATCGTCAACAAAGATTAACGATTTTAGAAAAGAAATCGAAGCTCGTAGTATAAATGCAAAGAATAGGTTTATATGTAGCACGTTACTTTTGCAGTGAAGCCGTCTGAAAATAAAACACCTATAGGTTATTATAAGGAACACCTTTAAACGGTCTTGAAAGACAACCAGATAGACATGTACTATTTACAACAATGAATGCTACATAATAAACAATCAATGACTATTGTATCATACTTTGGAGAATTTTCTATTGATAACGTGTCAGAGATTAATCGCATACCAAAACATACACCGTGCGTTAACTGGAGTCAAGAGCATGCTTGTCGAAAGCTCCTTTTTCTGTGGTCCTTTGACGTCTTATCTGTGATATGCAGGCTGCATAACCTCTGACCCCCTTTAAAAATTCAATTTTGTTTAGTTCCGCCCATTGTTTTCTCGTTAAGGGCACACGCTTTTTATAACTTCGGGACCATACGCCGCTTTTCATGGAATAGCAATACTGTGTCACATTGAAGGTTCCATGATAACCGCCGTATGAACACATCTTCAAATGTTTCTAAATTCAAAATTTTCACCATATGTTTAAATGTTGAATTCTGCTTAAGCCGGTAGTTTTCACTTGACAGTATCGTCCATGAACAGGCTAAATCAAACCGAGCCTGCAACATTTTCAATTGTGACGTGTTGGGCTTTTCTTTAGGGATTCTCATTTTCTATATTTTTACTTATTGTGACGACAGGGAAAGAGAAAACGTACATTGGTTACTTTTTTCTGGGGTTAAAAATTGTGACGACAAGGGAAGTTTTTTATGCATTTGAATATAGAAATGTATAATAAAGACCAAATATTTTATAATTTAATATTCACTTTCATTTTATTAAATTAATGAAATATCATAAACTTTTGAGCTTGTGTGCATGCCTGTGTAACTGTTTCGATTATTTGTTTTGTTTTACTCCGTGCCATGTAAATTCAATGTATTTTATGTGATATAATAACGAGATTTAGGAACTGAACAAAAATCATTGACATGCATTCTTAATATAACTGAATAAATATCATCTGACAGTGTTATCAAAAATAAGAATTTCAAAACGATTTATTAAGGTGACTTTCCGTTACCTTGACGCTATCATAATTGTTACAGCGACGATAAGAGATGCCAATGATATTCCGTAGCCTATCTCTGACATCAGTTGTATACGTGGTATATGATTCTAAAATGTAAGAAACATGTAGTTAAGTTTATTCATTTGAAAGCAAAATGAACTCTTCTCATATAAAACAAACAGAAGAAAGGCGTTAACTTTGATTCTTAGAGTATGCTTTTCAATTTGTTTATATTATCATATTTATTTTCCTTTCATCAAAACATGTTGGTTCGTTTACTGAGTTACTTCATTAAATTTTGCCTTTTGTTGCTTTTTAAAATAACCCAAGACACCATGTCCATTATTAAGTTGCTCAAGCTTTCCCTGTTTGAATAAGGCTTTTTGTCCAGAAACAACATTGTTCTTATATAAAAAGGACGAAGTCAGTGACCGATTTAATTTTGCAAAACAAGACAAGTATACTAAAAGAAACCATACAATATTGTCTTCCAAATATATCTGTTTTTAGGCCTCTTAAAAAATTATAAGCCCTAATTATAAAACTTTGTGCGTGCCATATGCCAATATTTAACACATAGCACGGA